TTACTCTCAGTGTAGACTTTGAAGTGCGCTGATGATATTAGTGATCTACATGAGAATATTCCATAGACTATAGGCATTCTTGTCTAGGGCTATGGAGTGCACCTATGGTGACCCTAGAAACTTGTCTTTCTCTCATATTTTTTAAATCAAAAATCGAATTCTTACCTATCATATTTATTTCTATTTCTTGTTCACTAGATTGTTTTTTTTTATAACTCCAATTTTGCACCTACATATATCGTAGACTTTTGCATACAATTTTTGCTCGCGGCATTACTCTCATGTATCATGATTTATTAAAATATCTTGTGATTTTCGTTTCGCTATTTTGCATTTTACATATGCTCACTTCGTTTCTCAATTATTACTCATGAAACTTTTAATATTTTGCTTACTTTTGTATTTTTTGAGAATTCTTTATAAAATCATGCTCATATAGCTTTGATATTTCCTTTCACTTTATGATTTTAATACTATTAGATATACGGTTGCACTTGTGTTGCACTTAGTTTTTTTAGAAATTTATTTTGCCCTTTTCTATACTGAACTTCAGAATTTTTTTTGGTCTGGTTCTTATGTTGTCACATGACCCGAAAATCTTAATTGAACTTACTCTTGAATTTTAGTTCATTGATTGAACTTAAGCTATATTTTGACTTTGAAAATCTTACTTCAATATTTCATAAATGTCTCTTATATACTTTAATTCTCTGAAAACATTTTGAATTATTTTGTAGTCTTACAGACTGCTGGCGCCCGACAATTTTTTTGTGGAATCAGAACTGCACTTAGTTAACATCTTTTTTGATTAAAATACCTTCTTGATCAAGTTTTCATTGGTTCAGTACTTGTAAATTGTTTTGTTATATGACTTGAATTCCCAATGGAATTTGTTAATTTCTTTTGATTTTCATATTTTGAAAATAGTAATGCATTGTTTTTTTATATTGGATATTGGTTCAAAATATCACTGTAGATGATATTCTTTTTGGGTTTGGGGTATTGCGAGATAATCTGGCAATTGTTTTGAGAAAGATTATTATTATTTTTTTAGTACCTCTTATGGTTTAGGTACTTACTTAGTTTTGAAGTTTTTAGCAGTCAGTCGTGCATTTTGGAAGCCATTGTGATTCCTCACTTCATGCTTGGACTACTGCTGAAGCTTTTGGTTTATTATTTTTCTCGTCTTAGGTATGACGATGTTTTATGTTTTGGGTTGTTCATCATATGATGATAGTTTTTTTTTAAGTGCAACTTCACTGTACTTTTCAGCGAGTTGGTGCTATAACCATCCCTCTTGTTTGGTAGACTTCAGGCTATCCCTTTTTCTTCCAATTCTCTGCTAACATTTTTGTTTCTACCTTACTTTTGCTACTTGTTATCTGGTCGAATGGTTGTACATTTGTCCTTCCATGATAACTTTCAATTTCCTTGTCAAATAAAAAAAAATTCTTGAATGCTTCTTCGAATTTTTTTCTGGTTAAGTAGGGGCGAGTGTAACGGTTTCACCGTCCGATCGTATTTATTAAATCACTTCTCGATTATCATTTCATTAATCCCATCTCTAGCTTTTTTACTTGGAAAAATTTCCGCTTGGAGGGCGCTTGATGCGGAGTTCCTAATCTGCGATCTTCCTCGCGCTTCCTTTTCACTTGAGCCGCCGATCGAACAAGAGCTAAGAATTTTCTTCTCTGTAGCACAAGGTCATATAGCACCATGTGCTAGAATTTTGTAGAATGTGTGTCCGTATAGGACAAAATGGTGAGTTTTATAATACTATACAGTTTTATTGCGGGATCTGCCTGTAGTTTATAGATAATCGATATGTAAGTGGTTTATTTCTTGTACGGTTTTAAAATATCCATCGAACGTCATTTTCGACTACTTCGATCATTCGCCATAACTTTAATCAAATCGAGGTGGAAATCGATCCACATCGATTTTACCTCCTTCATAGTTCAGTGAAATTATAAGTACGTTGATTGTGAATATTCGGTATTTGTGTTTTTATATCAGAAGCATGTGGAGAAATTTTTGATGACCACCATCTTGTTTTACGCTTTTTTTTTGCTATTTCATGATTTTATTTTATGAAAGGCATTTCCAATTTTCGGTTTGATTTTATCAAACTATATAATGTAATTCTAACCTAGAAAATCGTTGGTTCTCTTTTGAGGCAGACTGAGATTGGAAATGCCTTGGCCATTAGGGCACGTTGCTAATGCACACGGTTCTTTTTCAGATTGGGGGCACCCCCTTTCTCTTTCTCTTTCCCTTTCCCTTTTGCCTTAGTCTTTGACTTTGCGTTGCTTGGCCTATCACTTCACCCATGCATGTGCCTTGGCAGCGCCATCGCCTTTAAGTTCAACTTCGCCTACAACTGGTTATGAAGCCACTATATGTGAGGTCACCCCTCATAACTGGGACCTCCACTTCAAGCACCTGGCCATCCTCGCTTCAGTCGAGTCAAAATGGACCAGCGAAAGATAAGTTGATAGTTTTATAGCAGCGCCAAAGATGTAAAACTTATTTTGTTCTTTAAAACTGTAAAATTGTAATGTAATGAAAATGCTTTTTTTTGTTAAATAAAATCTGTTAAATTTTTGTGTTCTGTTTGTTCTTCTATCCTCTAGCCATGCCATGGTCGACACACAGCTACACGCCTGTAGATGTCTTCATGCCACCGACTGAGCTACCGGAAGCTAATGCTAACCCCCTTTCTGTGATTGTACAGAAAAGTTGGAATCTTTATTGCATTCCATCTTTTCTGGACTTTTTGCGGAAAGGAAGGGTTACAGAGTCATTGGAGTACCTCAGGGCTCTATACTCGGGTCTCTGCTATAAATAATCTACGTAGATAATTCTAACAGCAACAACTTTGTTATATATGCAGATGATACGTATCGCTTAGTGGCGCTGTCGACGAGAGCGAAATGCTCGGCTTGGCGGGTCGACTGAAACCGTTTCAGCCCCTGAAGATTGCTACCGCAGATATAGCCGAAAGCTATGGACCAAAGCCAACCCGACCACGGTTGAACAGCCCAAAAAACCTAAATTACATTAGAATTAGTCGTGAAAGTCTTCATTCTTCAATAAATTTCACCCGTACAAGATAAAACTTGCCCATGAGCTTAATAAAGATGATTTTGATCGGATATTAAAGTTTTGCGAATTAATCTCGCAACTTTTAATCAACAATACAAATCTGTTATTTAATATTTGTTCCCGGATGAGTATACGTTCTATTTACTTTGTGCTGTAAATAGACACAATTGTCGATATTGGACTAACTCGAATCTACATTTGTTTAGAGAGGTACACTCGCAAAACCCTGAATAATGTAAATGGGCTGACATTTTCGTAAATCATATTGTATTATCTTTCTTTATTCCTGGAAACTTGACGGGTGAGACGTACTTGGACATGTTAGAAAATACAATGGAGTCATGAATTACCAAAATAAGAGAAAATGACATTAATTATAATGAAAATTACATTCATTTCCAACAAGATGGTGCACCGCCGCACTGTGTGGCTCCAGTACGACAGTATCCGGACATTACCCGAATCATTGGATTGGCAGACGAGGCCCCATCGAGTGGCCGCCGAGATCACCGGACCTAAGTCTTTTAGAGTACTTTCTTTGGGGGCATTTGAAAAGTAAAGTTTTTAGTACGAAGCCAGAATGGGAGCTTCTATTTAAAGATCTAAAATGCAACGCAATATTTTATTTTTTGATCACCCTGTATTGTGCGGATACAGATGAAAAGACGTCCTCCTAGGAATCAAAATTGACTTGTCTGAACGCAGGAGAGTCAAAAATTGGGGTGCGACCTTTTCGTTATATTTACCTATGCTTAAATAAATTTTAGAAGCTTCACAGCCTAACTGATAGTCACAACTATGATATTAGGAATGTTTTGATACTGCAATTCTCTGCTCACAGGTTTGCCAAGACGGAAACAGACACTGCCACTGCCTGAATGGATTAAAAAAATAAAACCCATATCTATACAAAAAGTGAAGAAAATGCCTATTTTATGAAACAATCTGTATTGTGTATATAGTCTAAACGAAAGGGTTAATGTGCATTTAAATCATATGATAGCTGCAAGTTTATTTCTTTTGTCGAATGGAAATTCTAAGCCGTTCGAAGTTTCGAAGCTCACAGCATCAGTGAACACGTTGTATCGCATGATTCACACGACCGACCGGCAGACGGAGCACCTCAGGGCTATTACGTAAAAAATCCTATAAAATGTCAAAAAACCGACTAAATGACAGCTTGCTGAATAGCTATCTCCTAGTGTGATAATACATCGTAACGCTCTTGCTCTGTATAAGCCCCGTGAGCGTCACCCATAGCGTCACCTATGGAGGAATGACTCAATGACACGTTCAACGACCATCCTGCAAGTTAGTTCGCCAGCATACTTTGTTGGTTGCAGAATGGCGACACAGTCAGTAGAGTGTATGTATCTCTGAGAAGATGTGTTTGTGTAGCAAAGTAGCAAAGTCACATCTGGATGATTCTGTGTATTGGTCTGCATCTGTATAAAATCTGTATGTGAGAAAATTATTACTGAATGTGCTGCCCGTGAAGTATATCTGTTAGCTATAGCTATAGTACCAGACAGGTTAATTGTGTTGTTTCTGAAGAAAGATCTGGTTCAAATTTTTAAATTCACGATTTTCCCCGGTTTTTGCATTTTCAAAAGCTTTGAGAAGCATTACGGGAAATAACCACCGCCCCCTCATTTTGTGTAATTAAGTCACATTACAAAAAAAAATAGGAATGATGCACACACACACATACAAAGCATTTTCACAGTGCCTAACATCTAGGTGCTGATTTTTGTTTTCTATTTAGCTTCGCAATATAAATTTCTATAAAATGTAAATGATCGGAAATAAAAAATAATATAAAATGTATTAATTATTATTTATTTTTATATTCATCATGGCATTCGCATTTTTGCTGGAATGATTGCCGCCCTCCCTGGGCTCTTCTGATTCATTAGTTGCAGGGAACCAATCCGCATGTTCTCGTTGCTTTTCTTCTACAGCTTTTCATGTGACTTGATTGAATTCACAACATTCCATTATTTTCTCTTCTTGCAGAGTTCTCTCCAGTTTCTGATCCCTAATGTTTCTACGTCTATTCTTACTGGATCGTCCCTTCTCACTTTTGGTCTTCCTCTGACCTAGCTTCCGCAAGTATTCATCGTGTAATTTTCTTAATCAGTGAATCATTACCTCTCCTTTCAATACATCCTGCTACCTCAATCTTTGGGATTTGATAAATCTTACTATGTCTTCTTGATTCAAAATAGTCATAATCTCTTCATTTCTTAGTGGTCGAAGTACTTCGTTATTATCCTTCACTGGTCCCATTATCCTGCGTATGACCTTGCGCTCCAGTACTCGTAATTTCTCTTGATCTTTCGTTGTAAGGCACATGGTCTCTGCTCCGTATGGCCTGATTGCAACGTCGTATATTCTTAATTTGGTTTTTTACTTATGTTTTTGTCTGTTACCTGCGCGTATTCGATCTGTGATTTCCGCTGCCTTCTCGTTCCCGTCGGTCACGAATACTTCTAAGTATTTAAATTCGGACACTCTTTCAAAACGGTACTCCCCGATGTTAATTTCGTTGATCTTGCTCTTCTTTCCTCTCGTTACCATTAAGAATTTTGTTTTCTCTTGATTGATTTTCAGGCTTCTTTTCTTCCCCTTGTCCTCTAGATTCAAGAGAGCTTCCTCCAAGCGTTTTTTGCTTCTTGCGATAAGCGCTATATCATCTGCATAATCCACCAGTTGGAACGAGGCCTGAACAATTGTTCCTTTGATTCCTGTGGCCCTAATAGCTCCTTCGACGACTATATTGAAGAGTGTGGTTGATAATGAGTCTCCTTGCCTTACTCCTTTCTCGACGAGCACTTCTTCTGTCAACCCTTTCCTTGATAGTATTCTTGCTCGCGATCCTTCCATTGTTATATTTACCAGTCTTATTAGCTTTTCCGACATATTTGGGTTTCTCGTTTCAACTACTATTTTCTCTCGTAAGATGCTGCCAAAGGCCTGCTTGAAATCTATGAAGATGATATGTAGGTCTGTGTAAAATTCGTAGCATTTTTCTATTATCTGCGTAACTGTGTGTGTGGCATCCACCTTTCCTTTCTAAACCCTTACTGATATTTCCCGATTTCTGTTTGCACGTAATAGTTTAGCTTCTGCCTGATGTGAGTTGTGAGCATTTTATATGCTACGCTTAGTAAGGCTATTCCCCTGTAGCTACTACATAATGTTGGATCTCCTTTTTTTAAATAACGGGATTTTCCATCCTAAGCTCCACTGTTCAGGTATTCGTTCCTCTTATCACGTTTCATAAATATTCCTCGGGTGCTAGTTATAATATGCATCACAAACCAATAATTTTCTTTTTTATCCCTACACATGTTTTAAATTCAACAAATTTGCATATGTAATTTCCAGGATAAAGCATACAAGTGAGTATATTTCAGACAAGACATCAAAGGAATTATCATCAACATAGATTATTTATTAGCACACAAATACTCTCTAAGCATATATGCGCTGCGGTTTCGCAGAATTCCTTCCAGCAATAGTATAGAACTTACAGTTTAGACCTCCAATATTTCCATCTTTAGGATAGATGTCACTTTACATCAGAGCCAAACCATGATAACTCAAGCATCATGACGTTTAGGCAACACGTACAGCTACACTACGAGTGCACATCACGTAAATATTCGCTAGCTCCAAGCTGACATCTTACAGGAAAACCACAAGCTAGGTCCAGGTTGCTATCCCAAGCAACAGTGTCAGAACGTTATCCCAAACGTCATGTCAGGCACAGTCTGCAACGCCGGTGAGGATCCATACTAACATTCATCTAACTTACACCTAAAAGAAATCGGTTAGTCGACAATATTATCTGATGATGACGCCCCTTCAGATAAAAGAGACCTTCGCGCCACTTTCTAATTTTGCTCTGCGACGAAAGAACCTTGAGGCGACCGCCGGTCGGTATCTTGCCAATAATGCACAACTATCGGCCAACCTTCTGTCTTCTTCTCTAATTCTAAATGTTCAGCAGTTCCTTGACACTGCTGAAAACGTAAAAACGACGCGCGCCGATTGACATGCTAACGGTTTGGCACGAGAACAAAGAATGAGTGTTTATAGGTGGCCAGAGAGGAGGGAGGTAGAAGGGGAGGTGCCGCTTTCCTTCGCTACGTGCGCGATCGCGGGGGGTTTGATACACTACGAGGGTACTACATTTTGTATTCAAAATATTTACTTCCATGGGGACGGAACATAATGGTACGTGCCGGTCCGCATAACAAATTTAATGCGTTGCGATGGCACGGTTTTGTATTTTTGTCCCATCAGACCTGATTAGATTGAAAGGTCAGACTCCCATATATATGTTTTTTGCATTGAAATATGTGTTTGTGTTTAAAAATATATATATCAAGCATCAGTCCTACATTATTTTCTTAAACAAGGTTTTTTTACTGTGCATATGTGACAGTCAGTTAAAAGTGACAGATCTTAAACATAGCATAAAAGTTTTTGTGGCCAGGGACGCTATCAAACAGTGGCAACGTTGCTTCTTCAGCGGGTGGGGTTTGATTTAAAAATGTATCATGGTTATTCCCGGCTGGAGTCAGCTTCGCTCGGTGAGTTTTCGCATTTATGTAAATCCGACAATCTTTTACGGTCAAGTGCCGTTGGTATTTATGATATTATTAAAAGCGGCGAACCTCGGGAATATGTAAGCAGCAGCACGGACCCGTTGCGTACCGGCTGCTGCTCCGTTTTCTTGTTACGACCATTAAAAATAAACCGAAACTCCTGTTGGATAAGACGTCGGGACGAATTTGTCTTTAGGCAGCGCCGTATAGCGTATTATAGTATGCTATATTTTTGCGGATACAATGAGCATTTTAGCTCCCACTCCCAAAGGGGAAGATGTATCATAATCATGAAAATTTTTGAAAAAAGGATTTTATTTTATTAGTTCACTACTGTGCCAAGCACGGCAAAGCTATATGACGCACCTATTAATAATATCATATCTAAGGGGTATCCCAAAATTAACGCAAGTTTTGAATTAAATAGAAAACACAGTTTTAATTCTTCAGATTGTTATTTTTTATCCAGTCATAAAGTACTTATGATAGGGCTATATATGGGATATTACATCGGGCAGATGGCTTCCATAGCTTTGCTGGCACATATGCACTCTTTTATCGAAATTCGTTATGACCTTTCTGCATAATGCTGGCTGAGTTTCGATGATGCACTTTGACTTTAAATAACGCCATAAGAAGAAATCTAATGGTGTTAAATCACATGATCTAGCGGTCCAATTCTGATCACCGAAAGTACACGACTAGGAAATATCTCGTGCATTAATTGAATTGTCTTACTGGCTGTATGGCACCTTGTGGCGACTTGTCGACAGTATCCAATTTCGTCAGAAACAACTAGATATGTTCTCATGTCGCGATATCGACCATCAGTAACAGTTACTGCTTCACCAGCCTCATTTTCAAAAAAAGTATGATTCAATGATGCCTCGAGCCCAAAATCTACACCAAACAGTAACACGTTGTAGGAGCATTTGTTTTTCAACAATCACATGTGGGTTCAACGTACCCCAAATATGGCAATTTTGGCGATTAACAAGATAGATAGATGCATTTATTGTCATGTAGATCATAAAAATGACATAAGACTCGTCCTAAGAGGAGGTACATAGTACACATAATTAAAAGTAAAACAAAACAAACATAAGTATTTACAAGGCAAAAACAGGAATAACATTCACGTATAAAAAAGTTTTAAAGATACATCACAGTGCGAGGTATTCAGACAGAGAGTAGAAACATTTTTCACTTAATAATTTTCGTAGTTGACATTTAAAACTAGCAATGCTATTGACATTCCTGAGGTCAGCTGAAAGTTTGTTATATGCTGCCCTTGTACTATAGTGTTTGTTGATGTTTTTGTTCGGCCAACATTTTGTTTTGTGTGTATGTGTGAAAGTGGTGCACTTATAAATAGGAATGCTTGGTAGAGTCATGATATTCTTACTTCTGAAGATCAGGATCATTATCTTGCATGTTGAATATCAACCTGATTATTCTCTTCTGTTGAACAAATGCTCTAGAAATTGAAGTTGATTGACTCCAAATTATAAAAGTAGCTAAATGACGTCTAAACACGCTCGCAAAAACCGCATCTCGATATCTTGTTCCTAACCTAAAATTTAGGCCGAAGAAGATTTTATAAGGAAATCCCTAAAATTTTAATTTTTTTAAACTAATATTTCTGGAATTTCTGTTTATTATTAAGTAAACATGTAATCTGAAAAGGGAAGATCCTGTCCTTCTTAGCAGGGGTGATCTTATCACCCTTGAATATAACTTCAACCGCAGGTTTAATGTCGAGTATCCAAAAAGGGCGGAGTGGGACTCCGGAAGCTGGATTGTCTCCGAAGGGAGTGGGCAGGTCTGGTACACGGTCACTGGAGAGGACTCTGGCGCCGTAGTCTTTAGGCCTAGAACTAGGCTATCTCTGCCTCTCTGTGGATACACCACTATTTTCTAGGAGTAAATCTTTTGAATTCTGGCTTGCGTATGCCGCATTTTGGAGGGGAAGTGCCTAGGAGAAGAATAACAACCTTCTCCGACAGCCAGACTGCAATAAAGGCGCTATGTGCCTGTACCATTAATTCGATCCTTGTATTGCAATGCAGGGAGGCTCTGGATAGTCTAGCAGCGAGGCATCCGGTAACGTTAGTGTGGATTCAGGGGCACGCAATGATATGGCGGACGCTTTTGCTAAAGCATGATCAGCTAGCAAACTCGTTGGTCCTGAGTCAGTCTTAGGGGAGCCCGAGTCAGGAGGAAAATGGAAAGTGGATTGCAAGCCAACAGTCAGAAATGGAATGGTCTGTGCCGCTGTGAGGTTCTGAGCTACTACAGGCAGACTATACTAGAGTCCATCACTTTGGATCCCCAGAACGTTAAGGAGGTGGAACTCAAGGCAATACTCAACTTTACTGGAAGGGCGGGGCTTGAGGTTTAGGGAATGCAGAGGTGCATGAGGTCCCGTTTGGGTGGCCTATGCGCCGGCTCCTCCCGATGGCCGGTATGCTTGTAATTTCATTCATTCATTCATTCAAGATAATAAATTTACATTTCAGGGTTATAAAGTACTCAGAAGGATCTTAAAAATAAGGTATCGTATGACCCCTTATTTCATTTAAAAAATCTTACGTTAAAACATATCGTTTTCATGCGTCAATTTTATTATCCGAATTTTCAGTTTGATAACTTTACATCGTTTAAAAAGTAAGTACATGAGAATGACCTGTCTGAAAAGCACTGTAGTAAGCCACGTACAGTAAATTTTCGTTTTATGATATTTCACGGGTCTACGATGCTTTTTGCTGAATACGATCATTTCATATTGCATATCCGTACAAACAACGAATTCAAAATTCCAAAATCAGCGTTATAAACATGGCGACTTTATGAACGAACCAAGCATAAACTTTCATTTGTCCGAACACGTCGGTTATTAGCGAAATGAAACCGAGCATATCGCAAACCGACATATCTAGCCGACCACTCATCGTTCGTACCAAAACGCAAATGAAAGTTTTTGCCTCGGGCATTTAGCGTACACATTCGCGTAGCGGCGTACATGGGAGGATCTTGATACGGGCGCACTTTCTTCATTTAGGAATCCTGGAAGCCTAGGCTACTGCGCAGACTAATTTTCAGCGCATCTTCTACTCTCTCTCTCTCTCTCTATACGCTGTTTTCATTCTGTTCCTGGAAATACTCTAATAAATATAGCACGAGCTGTCGGCCTCCTCCATTGATCGTATTTCCGGGCATTGTACAATTTTATATTGAAGATTGATAACAGGACAACTCGAATTGCACGCCGATGTTAAGTAAGTTGTCACTCTGACAAATATGATTGTAGGACACTTATACGTAACGACAAAGTTTTCGAGACGGAGACACACAACTAAAAAACGTGTGTCTTTGAGCTTACCGAACAAACGTTCACCCACAGGGGTAGGTTGCATGTGTATGTATGAGGAAGATGGGGATATATAAAGGGATACTGGTAGTCTTACTTGACCAGCCAAGAACGGTGAGGACAACTATACAGGGTGACTTCGAAGTTGAGTCATTTATTTTAACAGTGAGTAGATCTGATCAAAAGAAATGTTTTTTTCCTTTAACATTTTTCTGGTAAAATTAAAGTAACAAAGTTATAGTCCTTTAGAAGTTTGAGTACCGCCCTGTCTCAATAATAATATTATGTGCTCGTGTTTGGCAACACTGGATATAATCCGCGTTATCGGTTCATCGCATCGGAAACAAAAAGCGAAAGAATTTGAAACGTTTATCACGATGTTTTTCGTCAGTCGGTAACGCGTGAGTGAATAGTGGTGTTTGTTGCGTGGCTCAAACGAAATAGAAAATGGCACATGTTTACGAAAATGCTGAACTTGTGGACATGATTCTTATTTACGGGGAGTCTTTACAAAATGCTGCCGCGGCATCACGGATTTGTGCGAATCGGTTTCCCAATCGAGTGCAACCAACCCCTCGTGCCTTTGATAATATAGTACAAAGGGCTCGTGAATCAGGATACTTAAGACCTTACAGGGGAGGGCCTGCCGGTGCTCCAAGACCTCACGATCAAATACAGGCCCGCACTGAAATACTTGTCGGGAGGATACTTTATAAAACTAGGTAAAATTTTTTTTTAATTTTTTTTTTATTTTTACACACATATTTTGGTTTATCTTCCTTCTACAATCATTATCTGAAAATTAATGACTCAACTTCAAAGTCACCCTGTATAACATTTGCTAACCGTTTCTAAAAAATAATATTTAAGCAGTGTGTTCATACATAGAACAAAACGATGTGTTTGTTTAGGTATTGACTATGGTCGTTTCCTCTCCTTGGGCATCGTTTGCGAGAGAATACAAATAGCCTGTAATGTTTTATCAAGTGTTGTTAGAAGACCAGAGATACAAGATTTTAATAATCTAACTCTGCATGGTTTATTACTGGCCCTCAGTCAAGGGGTGAAATACCTGGGTGTGATGCTGGATAGCAAATTTCAATGAATCAGTATATCGACTATATGTACAAGAAAACGATACCGATCCAAAGGCAGTTGCATAGGATAGTGGGTAGGGCAAATAGATGCTGAACTTATTTCTTTTTAGTCATGAAATAAATTAATTTAGCACCTTAATAATTTAAATTCATACGCCTAATAGCGTAAAATGTATCAATACCTACCTATTAATTAACTGTCTCTAACAAAATAATTTTTTTGCTTAGTAAATAAAATTTTCCGAAGAAAAACAGACTAACAAAATCCCTCACACAACTGGCAACGTCGATTCCGCCCGTACTGCATGTATCATCGCGTGCTGTTGTGATTACTAATACATTTAACTGTAACTTTATGTGGTTTACGGATGTTGTTTTTTTTTTCTTTTTTCGTGCATCGCATCGTTTCAAATAAGTAACTGATAATCGTGGGACGTGGACGTGTGTATCGCGACGTACCGGTAAGTTCTGTCATTTTTTTTAAGTAAATGTACTGTACTGAAAGCGTTATTAAATAAAAAAATATTAGCCACAGTTTTTTGTGCATAAAAGTAATCAATAATTCAAGGCATATTTTCAACAAAATATCATACAAACGTAAACAATTCGATGAATCAGTTGAGGTCGTCGTGGGCTCGTATCGCATAGGCGTTGCAGCGTTGCCAAATGTTTGAGAAAATTTAATTATTTACGACTCATTTTCCTCGAAAAAGATTGATTTTCGGACATAAATTATAATGTACTTTTTTACTTAGAATAATGCAAGGAATCACCTCTTGGAGTTACGAGTATTATTTCTAATACCCTATACTTCCACCTCGTAGTCTCGTGTGTTTCACAGATGAATTATTTTCCAAGGAAACATACTTATAATAGCTTCAATAGTGCACTGCATATTTATATGCTTCTACACTCCAGCAACCTTGAAGGCAATAGCATATTCGAGGACAAGTTCACATTTAGTTATATTTAGTTATAGAATAACTACACTCGCCATAGTTCAGCCCGAGCCAAAGAAGTGATCCCAGGCTGGGGACCAGGGACTCCTACATCGATGCCAAGCCTAGGTTGGGTATGAGCAGACGCAGTCATTGCCGCACTGACTGAATAGGCATGTTTTTTTTTTATACTCCAACTACCACGAAGGCCTAAGGCCTAAGCACCCATTTGGTACCGTGGGGCTATAGGGGGATACATGGGAAATGAGGAACGCCACACGGACTTTGGCGAGGGAACACGTGTGCATGCAACATGCACACATTCTAGCTCCGCCTACGAGATCCGCCAGGTGGTACCTCCGCGTTCGACAGTCAGAGACCGTCTAACGGACAATCACAACATCCATAGCCAAGAGAAAAATTTATCTTGGGACGGGACTCGAACCCGCACAACGCACGGAGACTGATCAGGAGACCGAAGAGTCTACTACTGCGGCCACCGCTGCTGCCTGTGGGTTCCTCGGAAAATTGTGGCGAGAGAGAAATGACTGCAGGCTATCTAAGAGGTTCATAGCAGGTCCCGACAAACGTCAAACGCACCAGCTATTGAAAAAAGGTAGAGAATCGTCCAGTCCTTTGGTGGCAGTTCTCAATGGCCTCTGTGGACTCAACAGTCACTTTTCCCTTCTAAAGAAAATAGATTCCATCTGCCCCTTGTGCAAGGAGGAGGGCGAAACTGCGTTCCACTTTTCTAGGCTTCTGTCTGTAAATTTCATTTCGAAGGGTTGAGATATTCAGATCCATGGAGTTTTATGGTGAATTTGCATACTCAGCGAACTGATCTAACATCCTGGCTTTCATAAGAAAATCAGCAAGGTTCGATAGATTAGTGCATGTGGAGTACACAACAATGATAGGTAGTCTAGTTGCCAAGCTTCGCCTCCCCACTACTACTACTACTACTTTGGTAATAGCACTGTTCATAATGCTGGTTTCGTCCTTCCGACCAACAGAGGGTTAACCTTATACAGCTGTTTCATACTTGGCAATCATCAGCTCGGTCTAGGTCGTAAGTAGAAACGAATGAAATAAAAGTATCCTCTAGCGGAGGCATAAGGTCTATCTGAATAAGATAGCACAAATCTGGTAGTAACAAGGTTGTTATTTGTATATACGTATAACAAGACAAGACAATGGGAATAAAATTAGAGAGACTTGAGGGGGAGAGAGAGAGAAAATGTTATCATATGCGAAGCCGTCTATCGGATGTATGGTAATCAAAAAGAGTCACTCATGTGCAGCACAAACAAAACTGGGACGAAAGTGGGTATCCGCGAAATACCTGCATCAGTCATCGTGTTCTTTATCGATCTGGTCTGCTTTGCTGATTCCTGCTGCTCCACAGTGTTTTGCTTCTGTATAATTCTCGTATTATTACCTAGTCAAACAGTCTAGTGAATAACCGTGTGCTTTGATGTTTTTTAGGTTGCATACCTGTCTAGACTTAACTGTATATTTATCCCGTGGGTAACGATTTCTTAAAACACATTCAACCTACGCCACTGGAATGGACAGTGGGAGTTGTGGGGTGCACTCGATATAACTTTTTGGCATTTGTGGTGACGGGCAATAATAAAGCGGCCGCAAGCCGACGTCATGGATTCCGTGATTTGATGAACTCTGCTACTGCTGCTGCTGCTGCTGTTACCCGCGGTTCACAGACCCATGCAGCAACAGTGACCAATGCATACAGGCAAAACCGACATCGATATTAGGGAGTTGAGCTAACAATTGTTGTGCATGCTTTTGATTTATATCGTCTGTTATATAACCTGAAATTTCGTACAATTCAAGAAGAACATAGTCTGGCGATAGGAGAGAGCTGACGCTGATATGGAATAATAGAAATCTATAAATATACCAGCATCTCTGAACTGTGAAAATCAAGGAGACTATAAAGTAGTCCTACAATAAATTGTAGGAACGACTGACGATACGGCACTTACTACCAATGCGGAAAAATACTTATGTCAGCTAGCTAATATATGATAAAACTGGAAAATCGTATGCATAGAGAATAAAAAAGAAATATCAACGGTTTAGAAAATAATAATTGAGTCAAGAGAATGACTCTGCATTTGCCGCGCAACGTTGTGATCAGTTCATAAACGATTATGTCCAGCACAAGTTAGTCCCTCTGAACTAGCTGCAAACATGTATATAATATTAAATTGATTAAGTCAGCCGAACAGGCTCGTGTAATTAGTCTATAATAAGAAATATTTCTGTTTTAAGGGCAACGGCAGGGAGAAATCTATCATGTGAGAAATATGTGCTGACAGGTGCTAAAATTAATGGGGCTCTAAGGGCCGATTTCACCAACATTATTATTATGGACCAATAGGAATTTACCTTATCGAAATGCAATTTGACGGAAGCTGTCAAAGGTCTCAGAATATCAGTGATTTCTATTAAAATATTGAATAAAATCGTGAAAATTCGACTGTATTATAAACAAGACCACTTTTTGATTCCAACATGATGCTTTTGTACAGAAAAAACAGGACAACTTTCATGTATTTTGATATATGTTGTAGGTTTACATTTAACAATCCGTTATCCCCTTAGCGAATGGGAATGGGAGAAATAATAGGTCGATTTTCTAGCTGTTAAATTTGGCAGCAGGTTTGGTCGTTTGTTAATTCATGGCAATCTCGAAATTTGTTAAGTTCAATATACTGTGTGTATATTATGAGATCACTATAGCTAAACATACCTGTTGAATTGTGCGAATTTGCAAGAAAATAGAATATAAAATGTATTCCAACCAATTCCTCATCTCTCTTTACATCATAATAGTAAGTAATCATTTGTTATAAATTCATGGGTTAATGAATTTCTTCAAAGTAATCAGAACAGTATGGTCGTCCCCATCCTAAAACACCGATATGTGTAAAACATGTTAATCCCTACATCTCCGAGGTGCATAATGCAATTACTGTAGACATAGACCTAAAATTATTAGTAATTACTGAAAAATAAGAGCTAAAAGGAATTATAAGTTATAATAAAATATTGGTGGTTAAGGTTTTTGACTGGTGACTGGTGGGGATACAATATAGGGATGGCGACGATAGAGAAAGATTTTCCCCTGCCGGCCCTTGACATCGTTTCGAAATATGAAATTCTGGCAACGCTATAAAAATAAAAATGAATACACAAAGCCTACTTGCCTATTTCAGACAAAAACAAAAACACATAACGATTGTCACCTTGACATCATTCTGCAATCTGTCAAAGTAGTGCCTCCTGCATGGTATACGGTATCGATATTCGATAACATATTTTTCTTTCTACCATGAATGCGTGGAAAAAACAAAATAAGGAGAGATCTAAAATAAGGAGTTATTGAAGGCCTAAAATAGCCAGGCGCTAATAATTCCTGGCCGTATTTGAATATCTAAGCAGGCACAGTAAAACAAAAATAAGACTTGGAATTAATAAAGTTTATTTCGTCAGTTGGCAGAGTTTGCTCCATTGGGTAGTGGTGTTGAAAGAGTAATCATACGAAACTCGAGTACTCGTTACTCATAGATACCCGAAGTAACGAGTACCAATCCGAGCACGAAATGATTACTTTGATTACTCTTTTCCGTATCCCTACCCGGTACCTGTACAATCGTTGGTGGTTGTGTGGTGACGCTGGTTAGACTGTAGCACTACCGCTCATGCACCAGGGTTGCCAGACATCCCACATTCAGATGGAAACCTGGAAACTCATTTTTTTTATTGGCGGACATAGAATTTGGTAATTGTTTTTAAATCTGAAGTTTACCTATTTACACCGCGACACAAATTCGCTTTTATTGTTGTCATCCTGGGAACCTAAAAAGGAATAAGTAGTCGATTGGATCGGTTCAAAGTTCGGCAGTATTATGAGGCAGAAAAGCGACAACAAGGTAACACCACCGTTCAGGAAAACCACAATAATAAAAGTTATGTCAATTTGACTCGTGTTTCCATGCAGTGTTTTGCTAAAAAAATTATAATTCAGCATGACCACCAATAGTATGTGTAGACCAAGCTCAACGTAGAATTTTTTATACTGGTATATTATGCTTAATTGAAATGCTTCGAAAAGTCACATGTCATTTCGAATTTCCTTAAGCCCATATACAGATCATCTTTCTGACTAAAAGACATGTTTTTAAGTATTTCTAGTAAATACAAAGTATTTTCAGTTTGTAGGCTCATATGAGTCATATGACACTCCATCCTATGATAACTCATCTCGATAAGCAACAGTTTGAAGATACAATGTTTGCATTAAACACGATAGTCTTGAATAAACTATGCTTATAACATTTTGCAAATTTTAAGGTCGTCTATTTTCTTACAAGATTCGGTTCCATTCAACTTGTTTAAATTCGACATTAATCACACGACGCACATTGACAAATCGTTATACTCATACTACTCATAGTAATCAAAGTAACGAATACAATAAACGATTACTTTGTAGAAGAGTAACGAATAGTAACGAGTACTCGAAAGTAAGGATAACCATCACCACTACCACTGGGACGAAGTGTTGACGGATCCCACAGAATTATGTGTCACTTGTCGATATGGTTAGTTTTAAAATATCAGGAGATAACCAGCTGTTATTCAAATCAGTGTAAATGTTTTGTGATTCAAATAACGTCTAATATAAATATAACCCAGAATATGTACTCAGTGAAAAAAGAAAAATATTGCAAGTTTCTAGTTTTTCTGCAGGTTTTAGGTTTGCTGGTAGCTCTACGACATATATTTGGGTATTTCTTAATCGCTAATATAGTATGGAGGTTTGTTAAGTTCCTGAACAACGAAAAATATTCAACTTTATGGATGTATGGATATTAAAAAACCAGAATGGTTTTGTGGGAATATCAATCTAAGATGCCATAATGGTTCTGATGAACAACAAGTAAATGAATGAATGTTTGGAAACGAGCAATATCTATGAACTTTTTGGTAGAGCCAGTCATCAAGTAGGTGCTTAATGGCTATCTGCAACAGGTTTTTTGGAAAAAACACCCAGTAGATGATCTTGAATCAGTAAAATCGCATATCAATTGAAGAAAATAATATTATCATGAATAAAATCAACAATGGTAATTAAAATATGAATTTTATTCAAAAATCAAACATTTGTTTAAATTTTGACTGAATTACATGTAATTTCTTAATATTCAATAAGCTGGTGATGTTTCAATGACAAGATGTCATCTCATACTTTGACAATATTTTGTTTTCAACATTTCATAGCTATTGGTTGCTAAAATTTGTTGATTGGAACTTGAAGCTCATTCGCTGTATTTTACGGACTGTTACCCTATAGGTGGAGAATAACGGACTGTTGTTGGTGAAATTGGCCCTAAGTGTATAGATATGAATTAATGAATGAAACATGAAATTAGATGCATGCCGGCCACCATAAGGAGCCAGCGCATAGGCCACTCAGACGGGCGCTTGTGCACCTCTACATTTCTTAGACCTCAAGCCTCGCCATTCTAACAAAGTTGAGTATGGCCTTGAGTCCAAGCTCCTTAACGGCCTGGGAGTCCAAAGTGATGGACCCCAGTATTGTCTGCCTGTCGCGACACAGAACTTGCGCCGCTGCCTATTCTTCTACCCCGCAGCACTCACACAAGGGATCCTCAGCCACCCTCATCACGTGCAGGTGGCACCTTAACGTGTTATGGCCAGGCAACAGTCCCACCAGCAACCTTAGATTGGCTCTATCCAAAGATAGTATAAATACACTGCTGAAAAAAAATTACGAAAATGAAACATCCAAAGGTGTTTGCCCCTAGCTCCGTCACCACGACCGAATTTCTAAAATTGCAGAGCGTTACTTCTCAAGTTATATGTGGTGACAGGACTGGCGGACAGATCAACAGACAGACATACCGACCGAAATAATTGATACATGCCATAAAACATAAAAAAACAAATCTCATTTCCGAAATTTCTCGCGATCACAATAATTCCCTGCCAGTAGCTATTTGGAAAGTGAAAAGCGCAAAAAAACAATGAGAAAAATCTGAATATACAGTGCAGTAGGAGAGACCGGGTACAAAAGTAACACTTTGTACCTTTACCTTGATTTCTGGCTGGGTGTTAATGTTGTCATTAAGTTAATATAACCATATATAAATTCAGTTTATGTTCTTTAGACTAGTAACTCGATTTATTATATTATGCTGTGTTTTATAGGATTGATAGAAATTAAAAAAAATTGTTCATTTGGTCGACTATTGCCAAAAGTTTCTAAACAGACAAGACAGAAGCAATCCTCGTCGTCAGACCTATCTTCCTTTTCTTTTGGTGCCTTCTTTGTCTTCTTTCCGTTTCCCTTTCCTTTTGCAGGTATCAATTTTCTCTTACCTTCTCCAGTACTGGTTTTCTTTCGCTGTTGATGCTCTTGTTCAATTAAATTTTTTTCATGAGTGTCCGTGAGAATGGCAGTTTTACGTTTTTTACGACCTTTATTTGTTTCAGTCCTCGGATCCGGTAAAGGTCTAAGTTCTTTAGGTGAGAAATTAAACGGCTGGGTATAATTAGCTTGTTGCAGCTCGCTAGGTCCTGGCACTGGTGTTTTGGATCTTTGATCAAAAATTGAGTTAGCTGACAGAAGATCAGTCCTAGCAGAGATGAGGTCCGGTATATTTTGAACAGCCGATGATTGGTCATTATTGTTTGATTTGTTTGATAAATCATTGCTATCTGTACGGTGAACATTCTGGTCAACTGATCTTAGAAGATCACCAACTGGAGTACTTGGATCAACTTGAATGGATGACGTTGCGTCAGAACTAATCAACATATCATTTGGTGAAACTTCTCTGTTAACTTGTAACGGCCAGTCAGTCACAGATGATGGCGCGTAGTCAACAGCAGTAAATATATTCCTATTAAATGGACTTATACCGGTACAGGAAAATCCAGCAATTGCATTTTTATCAGTTACAGAAAGAGGAAATGCTTCTTAACAATAGCAGGAATGTAATATAGTTATATAGTTATCGTTCGACCAGGATGATTTCGTATCCAGTTGTCTGTAGCGTAGTTTATCATTTTCTTAAATGGCCCAAAAACTGCTCTATCCAAAGGCTGAAGCTTGTGGGTGCAATGGGGTGGAAACGATAGCAGTACTACCCCGTTTTCTTTACAGAAGTCTATAGCTTGAATAGATATATGTGATGCATGGTTGTCGAGCAGTAACAAACATTTTTGATCAACTATGGGCTTGACTTGTCTTTTAAAATGTTGTAGAAACAGTAAAAATTCTGCATCCTGCATCCATCCGCTAGCATTGCCAGCTCCAGCACAACCAACAGGACCCTCACGTATCATATGGTCTTGGAATCGTTTCAGCGGGAATACGAGAAAAGGCAGGATGTGTCCTCCTTGAGCATTAATGGCAACAGCAACAGTTACTAGTCTTCCGCGCTCTGCAGAGGTTACTGCACCTACTTGCTTAATTCCTTTTTGAGCTACAATTTTGCTAGGTTTCTGGAGAGTGGTTACCCCCGTCTCGTCCATATTCCAGATATCTTTTGGCTCAAATTGGTACCTATCCATTACTTCAGCAAGGTAATCAAAAAATTTACTCACATTATGCTCGTTAAAACTTGAAGCCCATGACAGACTCGTTGCCATTCGACTATCGTGCCACTTTTCAGGAAATGTTTTTCCATTTCTAATCGCTAACTCGTATGCCAGTTTACGTACTTCAGATGGAGGTAATCCAAAATAAACTGCAGAGCACTCGATTAAATAGTCACTTAGACGTAGATTACTTTCCTCGTTATTAGTAAAAACTCGGTTGACGCAACGGTAGCCCACAACTGCGTTAGTATTTCCTGCTTTTACTTTTTTTATATATCTATATAATGTTACATGGCAAACATTATTTCTTGCCAGGCCTCTAATTTTTGCACCATCTTTGAAATACTCTTCAGCCGCTTTCCGATACACTCCTGTGTCGGTAGTTCCTCGTTCAGTAGTCCTTATGCGTTTTCGAGGCATTCTGTTGAAGTAAGTAAAATAAAGAAGTACGTAATAAGTAAAAAAATACGATTGATAATTAAATATTATACGGGGACAAAAGTAACATGTTACTTTTGTCCCCCTGTACCCTCAGGGCTATGTTACTTTTATACCAGTGCACATTTTTGCCAAAATGAGCAACATAATCTTGAAACGGAACGTGCTACTCAAAAATGAATTTAAGCAGTGTACAATCACTCTAATCAAGAATAGATATCCAAATATTCAGATTACTATCATCCTTTTAAGGCTACGTAAATATGAAATAAGAAAACGTCTAGAAACTTACTTTTGATATGTGAAAACACGTATCGTCTTGTCACACAGCCTAACAGTGCGTGGCGCATGCAGCGACTGAATGAAATTAAGGATCACCCAAACCAACGCGATTAATCCGCTGCGATATTCGTGGCGATATAATTCTGGCGAAATTCGCTGCGAACATCTGAGGGACTTTCATATCGAAGCGAAAAGATCGCAGGGGATTGACAGTAAACGGTGTGAGAGTGTAGCTTGAAAATCAAATTAAAACATGTACTCTTCAGATGAAGAAGAAGCAATTCTCTAGGTCTCAAAAAAATAAATATAATTATATAATATATATAGTAATTTTTTAGCAGTAAGCAATGTGACGAGTATATGCACCTTCTAGACGAAGATCCAAATCCATCACAACATCGAAAATGATCCAAGACGTAACTACTTCAACTCCTAATATTGTTGGTCAAGATCAGCTTAGCTAAGCCATTCATAAATAATAAACGTATTATAATAATTTCTCAGTAAAGAGTAACTTACCGGTGTCATTCAATTCCACTCCTATCTCATCCCAGATTTTGTCTTTTTTTCGAACATTTTTGTAGTCCTCGTTGTTCAAGTCATAGAGAATTGGAAATTGTTTAATTATTTTCAGAAGTTTTTCAGTGTTTGCCATTGCGATAGCGATAAAAATCGTGCAAGCAGCGAATTAAAATTTAGACGCTGCACTGTCGCCCCGCTGTGAGCGAAATTGACGCACAGGTCTGTTCTTGTTCATTTGCTTCTACGAGAAGAGTCCCTGGGCGATAATGTCGTAGCGAATTAATCGCAGTCGCTGCAAAATATTCGCTTCGGTTTGGGGGATCCTTTAAGGGGGGCGCTACCGGCTATCGCCTGACGGCGGCGCAGCGGTGTTCGCCTATTGGATAAATCTAGAGAGCATTTGTTACTTTCGACCCACCGTTACTTTTGCACCCGGTCTCCCCTACTTTAAACGCATTCCACTAAAAATGTCATAAATCAGTTCAGTGGACCTGGATTCCGAAGTTTTTGTGTTTTTGCATCTAACAATACTCTAATCTGTATCTTATACTCTACGAAAAAAAATTCTGTTTTCGAATGTAAACACGTGGATCCGACATCATGTTTATTCGATCCCAATTTTCCAGCTATGGTAAATAGAAGAGGGTGATGGCAGGATCTCAATGTGTGGAAAGGCAGAGAGCTCTCGTACATCAACGGTGAAAGAAAGGCCAGGTGTGCAGCGTAACGTTGCTGCTGAAATAATTAAAGCAGGTGCATCAGATAGTTGATGCACCCGGGCGCCTCCGAACATCTCGTATCGATTTTGAGAAATATCGCTCTATCAGGGCGCAACTAAGATCATTTTTCAAATTGCAAGGGAACATGCTACCAGATACAAAGTAACGAACAGGCTAATAGATACTTAAAAATTTCTTCCACTGGCGTGGAAGTAAATTGTAATTGCGAAAAATTCTGTGCGGGGTGTTCGGCTATAAATTGTACGTCCTTCTAACTTTTTTAAATGCCGTTCTAGAAGAAAAATTTGTATACAAAACTTATTGGGCCTAATAAAAATTTTTTGGTAATACTTTTTTTTGTACAGCAGATGCCTCAGAAAAGTTCTATCGTTAAAGTTAGAGTTGTATTTTTTTCAATAAACACCCTACATATGTTCAGTGAAAATGATAGTTCTGATTACATATATTATTTGTTAAATTTATTCTCATTACTTTAGTCAAAAACCTGTAGTTTGTGTATAATTCAATCATGTGTTTTCTGGCACCATACCAAATTGCCTAGGCGGTTCGAACTCTGATGCACACGAGTAAATGACATACAAACTTTAAGTTTTTGGCCAAACTAATGAAAATTAGTATGATATACCATATACTTTTTATATGCTTCAACCGCCACGAAGGCCTAAGGCCAAAACACCCATAGGTACCGTGGGCCTATAGGGGGATACAGGGTAACATGCACATATTCTGGCGTCGTCTCAGATCCGCCAGGTGATACCTCCGCGTTCGACAGTCAGAGACCGTCTACCACCTACGGACAATCACAAGATCCATAGCCAAGGAAAAAATCCATTAAAACAATATGACTTCATTCGAAAGCACTTTCCCGAGAAAAAAATATTACATACAATATTAGATCATATAACTTTTTTCTAGAAAACATGCCCGTCGTATTTATATCTTCAAAAACAGTATTCATCCAGAATAATTTTTTGAGCGTTTAGTCCTTTTTACGTTTTTCGAGCTACATATCGTTCGCAAAATTTCACATGGATAGTTACCTAAATAATTTTCAGGTTAACCACATCAATACAAATATTGCTCAAGACACAAATGCACTTAATAAATGGGTAAAATATTCTAATTTCAATGTTAGTTCATATCACATGAATATATGAAGCCTAACCCAAAATTTTGACTGTTTTAATATCTTTCTGACTACAATTAAACACAAATTTTATATAATAATATTAACAGAAACTTGGAAAATTAATGATGTATCTTTGTTCTATTTGGATGGTTATGATACGCTTTACAATAATGGTACGTACAATCAGAATGATGGGGTGGTAGTATATGTAAGAAATGATATCAACTACAGATGTGATTTTGTTAAATTTAATGACGGCATCACAGCGTTGAATTTGATATTGAGAATTAATAACAAAGGTGTAAAAGTCACATCAGTCTATCAACCACCCTTATACATTTGTAGGAAATTTCGAAAAAATTTTGTTAGATAACAAAAATGGCATCAGTCACACCACATCACAATAGGAGACATGATTATTAATATACTGCAAGATACCAAATTAGTAAACAAATACCTCACTGTAATGCAGAGCAACGGATTCATATCACATATAAATTTACCAACAAGAGTAGTCAATACTAGTTCTAGTTCTTGCATTGATCATTGTTTTATCAAAAATTTTCAAATTTCTGTCGTTACATACCATTAATTGTTGAAAACCATATTACCGATCATTTACCTACTGTAATACTTATATTATCACCAGAAAAAAATAATAGTAGATCCACTTCCAATAATGAAACAGTGAAATTTAGGTGTTTTGTCGATAATAAAAAACTACCTGCAAATATCAAATTAGAATCGTGGACAGCAGTGTACTGTGCAACAAATGTTAATGATGCTGCAAACACACTCATTGAAGGCATAAAACACTTAATTGAATGTAGTACTAACCAAGTTAAAATTAAACATGTTGACAGAAGCAGGAATCCCTGGATAACTAAAGGTTAGATAAAGTCTGCCAACAAAAAGGAGGAACTATACAAAATAATGAAAGCATCACCAGGTGCAGATATCTCCCGTAAATATAATGAATATAAAAATATTTTTATCAATCTAGTTAGAGAAGCAAAACGCCAATTTTATCTAAAAAATTACAAGATACCAAATCTGATCCAAGAAAACTGTGGTCAGTTGTCGATCACTTAACTAACAAAGACGTTCAAGAGAAACCAAATATTGATGAAATTAAGAATCGTGATGGAACAATATTAACAGAAAAACGACAAATATCCGATGCATTTATGAATTTTTTCACTAATGTTTGAGAAAACTGTTCCCAAAAACCCAACTTCCCAATTCATTCTTTTTAGAAAGCGTTAGTCCGATTGAAGTACAACAAGCTGCCCTATCACTTAAAACCAAAAAAAGTCCTTGTGTAGATGGTATCAAAGCTGAGCATTTAAAAATAGTAGCCTACGACTTAACCGAACCACTTTCTTGCGTCATTAATTGGTGTTTCCAATCTGGAATTTGTCCTGATGCATTTAAAACAACAGTTATTACTCCTGTTTATAAAAGCGGTGACAGAATGGAAACATCAAATTATAGACCCGTATCAGTACTATCGAATATAGCAAAAATTTTCGAAAAATTACTACAAGAAAGGATATTACAATTTTTAGACAAAAACAAAATTATATGTTCTGACCAATATGGATTTAGAAAAGGAAAATCTACCACAGACGCAATGTTGGCTGCAATGACTGAAACTAACTCTAATGTCAATAAAAAAACACCTACTATTGGTGTCTTTGTGGATCTAAAAAATGCCTTTGATACGGTTAACCATGACGAGCTTCTGAAAGTTATGGAAAGATTGGGATTTAGGGGACGTCACAAATCCTTCTAAAAATTACCATTGTCAAAATCACTAACACTTACAGTAAAACAATGTACATCAAGTGCGGTGTGCCTCAAGGAACAGTACTAGGCTCACTATTATTTAGTCTCTACTTAAATGACTTATTCAAAATTAACAGTTCTGGAAAGATTATATGTTTTGCAGACGACACCCTCATATTATATAAAGCTGATGACTGGAGCACACTGAAGCAAATAGCTGAAAAGGATTTTATAAGGATCATTGACTGGTTTGATACTAGAATTTTAATAGTTAACTTCAAAAAAACAAAATTTATTGCATTACTATTCAAAATTTTTACCCACCTTCGAACAAATTTCCGTTAATTATCAGGGCCAAATGACCTAAATCGATAGTGTTAACACTTTTAAATATCTTGGAATATTTATGGACTCACATCTAAGGTGGGATAAGCATATTAAATATGTTATCAAAAAAATTAGAAAAGTTGCCTATAAACTCAAAATGCTTGCTAACATTCTTACAGAAAGTTATCTGCGAATCCTGTACCATGCCTTAGTTGAAACCCATATAATATACGGCATCACAGCCTGGGGTGCCTCCTGCAAGACATATATTTCTGACCTGAATATAGTACAAAAAACTGTTTTGAAAGCCATTTTCCATAAGCCACGATTATTTCCGACGAACAACTTATATCAGGAAACAGGGATACTTGATACAAGACAACTTTATTTCTTACATGTCCACCACCTTATACCAAAAGTATTGTAATAGAAAAAAAATCCTATAAACACGAGCATAACACACGATTTCGAATAGACTCATCTAATATCCAAACACCACATAAAACATTATTCAAAAAATCATTTAAGTTCTTAGCAGCTAAATTATATAATGTAGTACCAAACGAAATAAAAATACTTCATTTTGGAAAAACATTTAGACGAAAATTGAAAGACTGGGTTTGTACTGTGCAGCGAATGACTATACATAATTATATAGAAAACTAAAACTACAAAATGCCAGTTATATTAATACTTTTTAGAACTAACAATAATTGTTATACACATATGACTGATTATTAATTATTAAGATATAATCCACACACAGGCGATGCCTTCTGTGGTTTTTTCATATTTGTTTGCCCATTTTTTTGTATTTTGGTGAATAAATATTATTATTATTATTATTATTATATAAAAAACGAGTGGGATACATTACTAAAAACCATGACACTTACGTCGTTTTGTCTGTTGGTCTGTCTTTTCGCTAATCATTAACTTGGAAAGTACCGCTCGGATTTTGATGAAATGTTGAAACAAGATTACAATTATGCCAAAGACGACAAGGCTTTGTTGTTTTTGGAAATCGAGGCAATGACGACGGATCCTGAAACAAAAGAACGAAAAACTGATATTCCAGAGGTACCTGATCTTATGCGGACATCTTTTTTTAGGGATTAAAAATTGGGTGTTAGGGTTATAGTGAATGGGGGACGGTATGTCATACTTTTCAACACAACGTACATGTCTCTGGTCGATGCCCGACCGATGAGATGGCTGTCTCTCTGAATGGAAAGACCTCACACACGCTTTTTTGAGTACTGAAAGACTTTTCAGTACTACAATGCCTACCCATTCACATATAAAGAAAATAAAATTTTCATATCAATCCACTTTCCAGCATTCTGAAGAAAAAACAATTCGGTTCAATAATTACAATATGCTTCAACGCGAGGACGCAAAGTTTTAAGGAAAATATATAACAATATCTGATAGTAACAGTTACGGGCGGCACCACGATTTATACTCCAAGGAAAGTTTTATTTTAAGTCAGCAGACATCGGTGGCAGTTTTAAAATGTTTCATTAAAATCTTTTCCACCTCGAATATTCGAAACTGAAGAGTGTCATGATATTCCAGGTCACAGGGGCGATACTCTGTGTATTTATTATTCAGCAGACTCTTTTAACATTATATTTTGCAGGAAATTATTTTGAATTTTGTAGTTTCATAGTTCCTATACAAATATAAACACAGAACTCGCCTATACTCTCTTTGACCTTTTAGAACCGCTACCTCTATTACCTTTGCGTCTTACAGTCAGTATATATACAATGTGTTCTGATACAACTAAACTTGAAATAACAAAGCTAGTGTGCGATGAAAGTAGCGAAAAGGTAAAAAATGATTGATTAAAGTAGTCACCGTTCATTTGATAAGAAATTCCAAATACCGCCCTGTAATATGATGCTCTACTAATATAAGTTCAAACACAATTCAATATCCTTTAGGTCGATGTGCCTGCAAATGACCTGTAACTCATGCTTTGTACAATGTAAACAAACTTACGCAGCACATGATAGAACCGTCCAGAAAAACGATCAAAGTAAGTATATTAACTAAACTTTAGCAACATCTTCAAAAATTTGCGTACTGTGTGTATAAGTAAACCGCCAGCACCATGGTTGACCTCTTTTTTAAAACTGCGGTTAATAAGAGAGATGTAAAATAAATAAGTCAACAGGAAACTGGAAAAAATACGTGAGCTTCCAAACAAGGCCCTTGATTTATCACATAAGGACTAAGTTTCTTATTTGCAGGCAGTGTCAAACAATAAAAGCTCGTCCAGGTTCTATAAAATTTTGGGCATAATGAACATTCGATTGCCAAACAGAGCTTAGAAGATCCTACAAAAATTAATGAGTATTTTGTTTCTATATTTGAACATAACAAATCTTATTGGGAAGAATTAATTAAATTTTTCAATAGAAGCTCAACAAGAAGTGACCTAAATTTTTCATTCACTGCCACAACCGAGGAAGTATGAAGATCCCTAAAATCTATCAAGTCATGGAAGCGATAGCATTAAAACCAACATGATCAAATTATGTTTTCCAATGATCAAATTACACATACTACACAC